GAGCAAAGGGCCCCTAGCCCTGGCCTTGCGGCCTTATATACCGCGCCCCTGGTGATGTGCAGGTCATGTCATGAGATCGCGCGGGAACGCAACATATACGGTCGTCAAAAGAATTCAAAACACAATGGTATGGGGATATTTCAAAAGCACACTGGTATGGTGATAAGTGTCGGCTGCATCTCGGGGCGCTGAGTAAACGTTAATCATTTCACTCCGATGGGCGACCACTACATTGTCTGCTCTTCAACGAAATTTCTCCGGCAGCGAAACGCTTGAATCATTGGAACACCGTCGAATAGTGAACAACGTTCTTCTTGAAGGCAGCGCAGATGTTAGCCGCAGCGGCTCTCGCAGAGTATCCCTGCAGGAATTGGTAGTAGACAATGAGTCGGATGATAGCTTGATCCATTATAAAGTCTAATGGCCCAAGACTCTCCACAAAGCCCTTTTATGTCCATATTCGAAAGTCGAACGCTCTACAGTAATCAGGCGTGAAACATTTAAAAAGTTCTTTGGTTTTTTCCTGGAGGAACCTGTTCAATGCGTTTTAGGGCTTATCTTCCAACCTAATAGTTATCGAAATTGAATAGCGTCATGAAAATTAGAAAGGGCCACGGGCTATGCTGGTACTGACAATCTGGTCCAGAAGAAGCAAATATATATGCATTTACACGTGAAATCCTTTCCCTTTACGTTTTTCCGAATGGCAGAGCAGAGCATGCATGGTAACTAACATACTCAAAGAGCGCGCCTCACCAATCGATAAGCGTCTATGACACATTCCTTTCATGGCGCATTCTTAGGCACATTGCGAAAAGTGTAAACGCTGCATCATTTGAACTAAAAGCTGCATTAAATTATCAGTTGAAGCTCATCACCTGAAATGCATCTACTTACTTATTGTTAGGGCGAAAACAGCTTGTATAAAATTACAAACAATTAACTTCCACGTACGGCTTTCTATGTCTCAGCCATATCGCCTTATCGAAAGTGACACTAATGTTATGTCCATGTACTACCCAATCATAACCTGGGTCTAACCCATCTTTGACTCGGTAGTATGCTAGACAGGCTTCTTCTGGAGCGAGCCAGAAACTATACGCCTGCTGGTTGCTATTTAGGCACCACTTTCCGTCCGCATTGATAAACCACAACTCAGGCTCCTCTGATTTTTCACAGGGATTCAGCGCGTCTGCCCACTTAGCAAATCGGGATTCATAGTCGCGATGTGCAGCTGAAATTTCTGCTGGCAGAGCACCACCTGCTGTGATTTGAGCATGTATCTCGGCAGCCAGCACACTGTGCAGCTCTTGGCACTCCAAAAACTCACTCACTCGCCCAACCAATCGGCTCGAAAGGTCAGCTGCTCCCCTAGCAGGTGTATCTCTAGTGACTCTTGTTGGTGCACTGATAAATCTCGGAGCCGGATCAAACTTGTGTCTGAGGTATTTCTGTTGCCCTGGCAATAAGTTGCAGTCCAGTCCTCCATCTGTTTTGCATCCGTATAAAGCCTCTACAGGCAGCTGCCGTATGCGGCTCAGATCACACCCCAGGTCAGGGAACTGCTTATACCTGCCCCAATATTCTGTCAGCACCTTTAGAAGTAGCTCACAGCTACGGGTGTTTGCGCCTCGACGGTGTATGGTCGCCACTTGCTGACAGATAGCTTCCAGCCTGCCAACTACATCGTGCCGGTTCGCGTTTTCAAAGGAAGCCGAGATTAACGTCCCGATATTCCGATTAACATATCCTTGACAACCATATTTAGTCACCTTGTTCCTGAGATATTCGCACTGTGTAGACCAAATTTCTTGTTTAATCTCTTCCATCGGGCGTCCACTTGCACATAAGGCGGTGAATAGCAACGCGGAATTTACAGCTCCTGACGTCACTATGATGGAATCATCGCCCCTTAACTCTATGTGAACCCGCGCCTCATCTTCTTTAGACATCAAGTCACATCGCTCCAGCTCTTTGAAAGCGCGGGACACCTCGACAATGTGGCGCCTCTCAATCGTGCCGTTGGTATCTTGGATCCCACTAAATAGTCCAACAGTGACCCTTTCCTCTCCATGTTGATCTTCAAGTTCCATCCAACAGTTCAATGCAGCTAATTCAAGCCAACGACAACAGCGCATCCGATCGTCCACCGCTTCTTTCTCGCTGCCTCTCTCATACCACATTCTCCGTTAATGTGGCTATCATTCTCCCGCCCACTTTGGCTGATTTAGTCTCACGATCGTTATTACAATACATGGCCTCAGCGGGCAAATCACAGTAAACCCGACACTTCTTGTATACTGTCTTTGGCAAGTCCCTAGTCGGTGCCACGTAGCGGGCCGCTGATGGGCCTTTATCGGTTGGATCGTCGGCACCCAGATATCGCATCTCCTCATCTTGGTCAAACTCTGGCTCCGGAGTTCTGTCATCTTCAGCTTCCTCAGGGCCGCCGTCTTCTCCTTCTTCCTGTTCTGCGGCTGGATTCTCAGGTAGCGCCCCTTCTACACAATTCCTCTCTCTCACTCGTCCTATCGGCGTGATTTCTGTGTAATTCGCACCGTCGAACATTCTTGTAGGCGGCTCTGTGTCATTCATTACTTTCCAGAGGCGATTCAATGTGCTTACTCGTCTGTCCAACCTCCAGTTGACGGTAGTATAAAGATTTAATGCCTCATCACTTGGAGCATATGAGGTGCATAGTAAGTATAAAACTACTGTGGTGAGTCGGTTGCGATTCAAGGTTAATCGGCGTACCACAATGGAGTTCACCCCTTCTCCTGCCTTAGCCAAACGGATCAGATTTCTATGGTCAGCCATGAAAATTGCGGTAAGTGCAGCAAGCATATCTCCATATCCCGCCCTAGGCTCTGCTCCACAGCACACGGCCCAGAAGTTCGTGACAACACAGTAAGGAACAACAGTATGGTGTAAACGTCTGGCACACCAAAGCATCCTATCTACACGGTCGGAGTCCAAGTCAAGTGGTGGGCCGATCAATCCCAAATGCCCTGCGAACTTCTGGCCTCCGCTTTGCTGGCACACACGGACAGTAGCATTCAGCAGGGCGCAAGCGATCTTCTCCCAACGCGCTATCTGCCCAAACTGATTGTAACGAGCATCAGCTTTGTATTCGAAATGTTCCGTGTCAATTGCAGTATCATCTGTCTCTTCAGCACCCGTCCAGTACTCAACAAAAAGAGTAGGACCATGAAGTGCATGCACTCCCCTCGTCTCCAATAAGGCCAGGGCGGGCTCTATCACACTCATGGAGCTCGACAAACATTCATCTGCGATTGCGCTGCTGATCTGAGATAGTACGTCCACCCCTTGCGGCCCATGTCTTCTTGATGTACTCAAACCTTCTTTCACTGCCTCCATAACTTTGCTGTCCGATCGCAGAGATGCAGAGTGTATGTTGCTAGCAGAATCACTGGGGTTCACTGAGCTGATCTCACTCATACTATCTGAAAAGGACACAAATTCAATCAGGTCTTACACTCAAAAGAAGACACGAAATGAGAGCGCGACGATCATTTAAATTTAAGGGTGGTCCCTACAAAATCCCCGGCACAAGGAAAATGTTGGGTTTGTTCCCCTTTCTTTCCCCAAGGGGGTAGGGAACACCCTTACAAAAGACATATACAACATCTTAATGGAACCCTTCCTCTGAACCCCCTATGGGGTTCATCGGGGTTCGAAGGGGGAAGTGTCTGATCCCCCCCTCGAACCCCGATGCGCTCGATCGATCTTAGTAATGGGCCCAAGTTTTTCAACTTCGCAGTCCATTTCTACAGCTGTAAT